GCTGCTACTGAAATGAAATCACCATGTAAGTACAAACAATTGTTTAACTATAAACTATATGACTCAACACACCCTGGTGAGTACACCAAAGTTTGGCCAGGACACCATGGTTTGATTTTCCTGCTTTTGCTGAAAGTAACATGATTAAAATTCCCCAGATTTCAATCCTCTTTACAATTCTCCTGGAGGATCAATTCACATAAGATTTTCAGGACCTCTCTTTTCTTTCCTGAACTCCAGACCTAAAAAATCTGGAGATGAAGAAAGGAAGGAAGAGTTAACTTACTGTATTTAATAATCTAGAGCACGTCTCCACTTGTCAGAATTTAGGAACAGATACAATTGGTTGGGTTCTCCTTTCCATGGCTCAGAATCACAGAATGGTCAAGGTTGGAAGGGACCTCTTGAGATCATCTAGTTCAACCCCCTGCTCAGGCACTGTCAGCTAGAGCAGGTGGTCCAGGACTGTGTCCAGTTGGGTTTTGGTGTCTCCATACAGACTCCACAACCTCTCTGCACAACCTCTTCCAGTGTTTGACCACCCTCACAGTAAACAAAGAGTGTTTCTTGTGTTCAGATGGAATTTCATGTGTTTTAATTTGTGCCTCTTGCTCTGTCAGTAGGCCCTACTGAGAGGAGTCTGGATCCCTCGTCCTCATTCCTTCCCATCAGCTATTTCTAAACATTGGTAAGATCCCCCCGAGCCTTCTGTTCTCCAGGCTGAAGAGTCCCAGCTCTCTCAGCCTCTTCTCATCTTTGTGGCCCTATGCTGGCCTCGCTCCAATAAGCCCATGCTCTCTCGTACTGGGGAGCCCAGAACTAGATATAGCACTCTCCGTGTAGCCTCACCAGTGCTCAGCAGAGATGCATCCCTTTCCCTGACCTGCTGGCAGGGCTCTGCCTAATGCAGCCCAGGACACTGTTGGCCTTTTTTTGCCACGAAAATACATTGGTGGCTTAGCAAAATTAAGCCTGAAAAACCTGTTTTGCTTATATAGGGATACGATGGTCTAGTTTTGGGGGCACTGGATAAGACATGCAAACAGGCACAGCTAAAATTCACTCCAGTCAGGTACAACATTTAATCATCAGTGCAAGTACCAAAAAGGACAGCTTATTTGAGTTTCTATGTTCTATAGGAAATGATGCTTCCCTAATTATAGAACATCTACTTACACAGGCACGCGCACCCTTGTGACTCAAGAAACGTGTATATTAGAATATGTCAAGTAGAGATAACCTGCATATATCTTCCTCCCAGGGCTGACTGTGTGAATTGAGGCTGACAAAGCAGCCCTTTAACACCTACCATTCAGCAAAGATCTGGGAGAACTCAAGGGAGCTGTTGGCAACAGGTGAGATGAAGTAAAAAGGAACATTGGAGAGCCCGGCAGAGTCAATATACTGATACAGGCACTCCAGCAGATCGTATATTACTCCAGAGGGGTAACAGGGAACCAGCACATTTCCTCCATTCCGGACAGTCATAGCTAAGTGAGAGAGAAAGTAAAAATCAATTAACAAAGTTCATATTTAAACTTTTAAATAGAATTCTTTTAATCCAAATATTACGTAAGGTATAGAAAGAAGCTACGGCATGAATTAGCAGAACACATTATGCATACGAATTGGGAGGAACACTTCTGATCATTAAATACACTGATTTACTGCCTGCTCCAGGCTTAGCGGACCGAACGATTCCACTCCGTTAGCCGGAGGGCACACAACAGGCTGAGCACATGCAAACTCCTGACAGGCGAGGGCGATCCTGCACTGCCACACGAGGATAAATGAGTGCCACAAAACCCCTCGCCATCAAAATAAACCCTGCTCCATCTACTAGCTGTCCACCAACAGGGAAGGACAACAGTTCACAGGTCTCCGCTGAAAGAACTACGCATAAGAAACTGTTCTGTACTCGGTTTCAGTGCTCTAGATGGATGGCTGAAGATGTGGTTATTTCAAACAGCCCTCGAAGGTAGCAGGGGGTGGGGGAGAGTTTCTCCTTCTTAAAAACTCTTAAATATTTCTGTCCTTTCAATATAACGTGGACAATTTAAAACCTCTATGAATTGTAGACAGCATGGGACTAGAGAAAAATGAGGAAAGGAAAAAAGAAAAACAGGATTACTCTGTAAACAAGACAGATCTGCATACAACAGCAAAAGCAAGTACAGAGCAAACATTTTGTTCTTTTGGCAGAATACATTCCAAAAATGCTGTATCTTATGGGAAAGTGGAAACACTTTGTCCAGATCACTGAGCAACTGCAGCCTCACTAGGATTTCATCTGTGGTTGTGGGGTAAAACCATCTACTGATGTTAATTGCAGTGCAGCAGATGCATCAAGGCATTACAGAAAAAGCTGCGAATGAGCCTGAAAATGCCTATATTACATCCCATCATAGTCCCTTCCTTGACATCAATTTATTGACAAGCTTTGATGGGGTACAGATTTAGCACATTAAGGGTCTTTTTGCCCCACCTACATGCTCAAGGAAGATTTTTATGGCTGAATGTTTAAAGGTTGTACAGAGTCTAGGGAAATGCACAGACTCTGTAGTAGGATCATCCACATGCATTTGGGTGCTTAACTCCTTTTTGGCAGTCAGTGCCTATTGCACGCTGCTCTCAACAACTCGTGGTCAAAGATACCTTCTGTATTAGAGTTATAACTGCAGCGTAGTGGGTTTATTGCCTAGGTTTTCTCCAGGTCCCATACAAACTATACCATCAAAATACGAATAGCAATACTTTACATTTGTCTAGAACCTGAGATATTACAAAACATCCCAGCAATGTGTTGTATTATCCCTCTTACAGGGGTAAGTCTAAACTATCCCATCTGTAAACAGGATGTGAAGAGAGGAATGAGGAGATTAGGAACGACATTTTCCAAGCCATCTGGGGGCTGAAAGTTAAGCTTCTGGCTCCAGGACCAGAATTTGCATTGCTTCATTACGCACCCAAAACTTCTGCATAGAGGAACAGTAAGTACCTATATGCACAGCAGCAAGAACGCTGCATGGAGCAGAGACGGGGATGCAGAGTACAGGGCGCACTGGTGATCAGTGGAAAATGCTACAGAAAGGGGTATGTCTGCAGCTCTGTCTCTGCTCTGAACAAAGATACTGGCTGAAACACCAAGGTGTTTGTCTCCATGAAACGGGTTCCTTCTTCTTTCACCCAGGCACAACTAGCTTCATCCAGCTGAGACAAACGGCTCCCTCCTCCCTTTGAAGAGGCAGGAGGAAGAGCTTTCATCTTAAGTTGGGCTGGTTAAAGAATTTGTCCTGGGCATGAAAAATGTGTGTTTCATTCCCAAGCCTCAGAGTTTGAATTCAGAGCTCTCCCTTCCCTGCAGCCCTTGGTTTGCTATGGAAACCTCAAGCCTTTCTGTTGAAAACAACCAGAAGTTCAAGATTCCTGGGGCCACAGAGAAAATAATGGAGGGTAAGGTCTTGGAGCAGATGCCAACTTGAATTTCTGTTCCCAGGAAAACCACAGAGCTGGTTATCAATCATTAATATAAAATCACAATCCATGGAGTGGAGCACTCTCCCAGCCAGCTGCCCTACCCACTAGACCACCAAGCCAAGGTTGCCGGCCCCTTGAATCTCATGCTCCTGGCAGCACAGTGATGCATCTTTGAAACCAGCCTGGTGAATACTCCTAGTCCCCAGGACAGGAAAGGACAGCAACACAGCTATCCCACCACTGACAAGGCTCTGTGTGACAACTTTTGGGTTAGAATACACTACTCAGTTCCTCGGTGCAAGTTTATTTGCATGTGCTGTGGTCAGCACAGCTGGGCACCACCTCTTGAAGGTGCTCTTAAGTGGTTCCCTAAAGGGATAAGAATTACCTCCCAGCTTCTGCAAAACAGGGATGAAAACCTTTACAAGCATATTGTTTTCCATGCAAGCAGCAGGTCCAATCTGGCTCTCTGCATCACTACGGCAACTTTCTTTAGCTGTCAGTAAGAGGACACGTATATCTGAAAGCTGTTTAAAGCCTAATTTATCCCTGTGACTGATGGATGCACTCTCTTGATAGAAGTTGTATAATAATTTTGGCATTTCAAATTTAGTCTCCTTCAGTAGCTCCATAACAAGTTGTTCAATTTACAACTCACAATGAGATACTTGCTTTTCAAACAGCTGCCACCACAAGGTCAAGTTGGCACCTAAAAAGCAAACTGTGCTCTTTTCGGCTTTATATAAACACACGAACACACACCCACAGAGGCACGACCACACACACACACAAAATATCACAAACTGTCCCTACAGACAGTCTGGCAATTTTGCTGATGATGCCCAAGGCAATGTAAAAATACAATTTCTTTTCTTGAGCTGCAGAGTGCTGGTGCTGCAGTGCTGAGCACAGAAAAAAGGGGTTTGGGCTAAACTGAGAGGAACTTGGAGATGTGACAAAGCATGGTTTCAGTGCTGCACACACAATGCGGAGAGGAAATCATGCATGTGACTTGGTAATAATGGGAATTGACGTCTACAACTCTATGTGCTGCGATGAAAACAGAGATCAACATGAAATTTTCACACTTCCATTTCTGTGCTTCACAACGCTTATTCACAAACATGCTGTTACCTCATGATACACATTTTTGGTAAGTTTCCGGTGTCTGCTTTAGAGTTTTTACCTAGTGTATTCTGAGCTTCTTGTGAAGTCCCTTGAACATTTTGGAAATGGGAAAAATATATGAAAACTATTGTATTCAGGTTGCCTACTCTATTTCTTTTCCCAGTAACCAAATGCTTTTTGGACTTTTTCATGTATTTGAAAGAAAATTGATCACTATTTTCATCTCCTGATGTTGGGGTGGATATGTAAACATTGCTGGTGTTATGTAAGAGACAGCCCTACCACTACATTATTCATAGAATTACTTAATTTCTTCAGGTCACTGTGTTTTTTGGCAAATACCACTCAAATTCCAGATTCTTACAATGGCATAATTTTAAGCATATATCTTCCTATGGTCTTTAATAATTTTCTAATTTTTCTGGGTTTGTCTCATTCAAAATAGAAGCTAGCTTGAAGACCTTCTGCAAAACCCTAAAATAGTTTTTGTAAACCAGAACAACTTGCGCAGATAAACACCCACCTGTACCTACATATGTAACACATTTATTTATACGCATTCATCTTTTGGATTTTGCTTTGGCCCAAGCTACATCTCTAAGACTTTGTTTAATTTTTAAAAGTATTTTAATTAACAACAGTCTCACTCTTGTTTACTCAGCACACAGCTGCTGCAGTTCAAGACACGAGTGACCACCAAGGTGCTTGCTAGAGCACATTTGCAGCAGAGTTGGCAGCAGGGCAACACGTACCACTCCTCGGCCTCTCCAGTACAAAGTCTAACATTTCAGCTCAGCCTTGCTTCCTTGGTGGTTTAAAGTGAGATGACAGGATGTGATCATGCTACCATCTCTCAGGCGGCCAGTAACGCCCATAAAGGTCCAGAAGGGACAGAGAAGGGCAGCACATCTGGATCTAGAACAACAAGGTCACCAAAGCTTATCTGGGACAGCTCATAGGGTAATAAAATTAACAACGCTTACAAACAATGAAAACATAGACCGTAATACACACACACATATAAACACACGCATCACTTAGGAAAGCAAGTCACAGGTGTTAAGCATTAACACAGCTTCAAGGGGAGGTTGAACGAGTTCCTGGAAGAGAAATCCATTGAACATTACTAACTACACAAAAGCCATGTCTGACTCAGGAAATTCCTGAAATAAAAATACTTGAAGGTTATGAGATTACAAGGGGAAAGAATTATATAGTCTCATTCTGTGCTTCTACTCTTCTCTAGGCATCTACTCATGATCGCTGCTGGAGCCAGGAGGCTGGCAGAGAGGATCTTCGGTATAATCCAAGATTATCATTCTTACAAAATGCCAAAATACACTCTATTCATAGGTATTTACACTACAAGGAATGATCCTGATGTCGTTAACTCAGCTTTTCGTATAAACTAAACCCACATAATTTTACCTTGTATATCCCAAAACAGGATCTATGACTCCTGATTGAACTGAAACTTGCACTAAACAGGGATATCTGATTTTGATTTAGAGATGGTGGTTGATGGAGGAATCTACCACATCCCTTGTATTATTTGCCTTCCACTACCATGGCAGTCTCATACTGGGACTGTGAGACAGTACACAGATATTCAGCATCTGTGAAAATGCACAAGGATTTTAAAATGGAAAAAAACCCAAAGTATTGTGGCTTTTTTCTTATCCAAGGGTACATCCACATTTAAAAACTAAGACTAAGGATTGCTTGCACTTCAGTTCTGTTCTCAGCCTTATTCTGCAACCTTGGGTAAGCTACCTAAATACTACTGCTCAAACTTCTGCCAAGTGTGTAATGGGGACCAGAACGCTTGCTTCCAGTGAGGATTCCCTGATTTAGACTTCTAATGTCTTTTAATAACCTTTGTAACAATCCTCATATCACAAGCTTTTTAGTCTTATTTCTAGTAAGTAGTTAGTTTAAAATAAAGGGAAGATCTCTTGATAAAAGAACAGGCAATATAAGGCAGGACAGACATGAGAAAGGGGTTTGATGACATAAGGGTGAGAGCAGAGAGGAACTGAAGTGGGGGAAGGGGAGAAAAGGAGAGAACAGCACTGGATGTGACATTCCAAACAGGCTGGAAAATGCTGCCATTCACACTGATATCGCAGCGTTGCAATTATCAGCCTTTCCAGCTGTGAAAGTGTCTGATTAGGTTTTATATTTCTGGGGTCTATAAATATATCTTGATTTTTTTTTTTAAACAGAGATTGTGCTGTTTGCTTTTGGTATATTTAAAAATCAGGTGTAAGAAGGGAAGCAGATGTGCTTGTTTTCAAAACTGAAAGTCATAAAAAAGCATGTAAAGATTTTACACTGGCTGATATACAGGAAGGAAACAGTAATATTTCAGCTGGGAACAATATCCAAAACCTAGGCAACACGTAGTCTGTTGGCAGCTAAGCAACATACTTAGCAAACCAAGAGCAGCAGATGATTAAATCTCATTATACCTGTTCCATTCCAAAACATTTTAGGTACAACTTGGGTCTCTCCAAGCACTTACTGTATTAATGACATCAGGAGCACATCGTAAAATCTAAACAGCTAGTTTTATGCCAGAAGCTATAGCTGGACAACTTACTCAATTCCAGGAATCTCAGAATCATTTCCCACCCAAAGCAATGAATAAGATGATAAAATAGGCAAAAGACTTCTTTCAACGACCTACCCAAGTTGCTGCAGAACTCTCCTACCATGCCATCTGGGTTAGCAGTAGGGATTTGTGTAAGACCCGTCAGGATGAGAACATCACTATTTTTAAGAGAAGCCTGGTCCATGGGCTGAAACAGAGCACAGTGAAATAAAATGAGTAACATGAGAGTTGTAACATGGGTTTCTCTGCTTTGTATCAAGAGGACTGCAATACATTATAGATACACTGACCGAGAAGGAGAATACATGGAACACTTTAAACTGAACATTCCTCCATCTGTGGAAACCTAACTGGAGTTAATAAAAACACATACAACTGATTACCTGCATACTACAGCCCAAAACAAACAACAGAACTGTAACTGGATCCATCTCAAAGTAGTCTCCATGGACTAATCATTTCATGGCCTCAGGAGCTGAACATTGAAAAGGCAATAAATTGCTGAGGATGTGGCAGTACAGTCAGGAATGGTCTGACACTTGCATTCCTATCGCTGGCTGTATTAGTTTCCAACTCGCCTCCCTTCACAAATCAAGGTGTCAGCTTTGATTTCCAGGGCGCTCTGTCTACAGGGGCAGTAGCACTTCCCTCAACCATTCAGTGGGTTCTCTTTGGAAGAGGTGAGATCAGCAAAGGACTTTGGGCCTGAAGCTCTCCATTTTGTGTATAAATCGGAATGCCGCCCAAGGCTCTCCCTTTGACTGGGAAGTCTGCTCTTCTGCCCGCAGTATTACAACCACGACTTTCAAATACTCATTTCAGATTGTTTGCACAGGCCTTTTTAGAAGTCTGGTTTTGTGAAATGGAAGTGGCTACTGCTGGTAGAAAAGAGAAATTGGTTTAGATTCCTTAACATTGATAAATTTTGTTTATTTATCTAATAAATAACCACACATACTAATTTTTTTTAATGTAGCTATAATATCAGGCCAAAAAGACAAGTATTTCCTTAAAAGCCAGTAGCCAAAACCAGGTGAAAAATCATAGATTCAACTGCACACAAAAAAAAACACATACAAAGAAGTAGTGCTCCCAATGCAACACCAGAGCTAAAATAACAGAGAAAATATGACAGTCTCTCCTAGTGGATCAGATTAGCACTGTGCCCTCCTCCAATACCTTTCTTTGAAGACTGTACTGTAGGCTAAGCTGTGTCAAAGTGAAATAGAGGTCGTCACAGGGCTTTGACCTCTGATCTGCTGGGTCTACATTGTGTGCTGTACTGACGACCTACAGTCACAGGTACAATCCTAGATTAGGCGGTTGAAGTGCTGAGGGGAGCTATCACAAACATCTATCCATGCCATGTCTGCTTCCTGGGGGAGGGAAGAGTTTCTATCTGCACAGACTATCCTGTGGCTCACAGATGTAGCAGGACTGACGATTAAATGGTCCAAGGAAAAAGGAGGGTCATCTTGGCTACTGGTAGGCAGTCTAATGCTGAAGTAAACATTGCTTCTGCCTCAACTGTGCATCAAGGCTCATACTTTTTTCACTGAGGTCAATCATTTGACATGTTTTATTCTGGCAAAATGAAAACACATACCCAGCTCTCTCCGTTAGCAAACACAGAGTAGATATTCAGAAATTATACTTAAGTGTGACCTGATACTAAATATATATTCTTGATACTCAAAATTTAGCATAATTCAATCTTGAAAAGGCAAAATCCACTTCTTTCTCTGCAGATGCAGTGCAGCTATGGCAAAAAGTTAACTTTTTGCCTCACTCTGGGCTGGGATGCACTTCCCACAGCTACTGTTCAAGCAAAGGTGGGCAACTGCAGTCCAGCTGCACGGTATTTCACGGTTATTTACTCTCAATAGACCCTCTTCAGTCTCACCAACCAGGAGAGACTTCTACCAGAAGAGACTGATGAAGACTGATGAAGAGATTCATCTACTGAACTTAGAAGATCACCATACAGTTAATTCTCTTGCTCACAGTCCCTCAGTGCCATTCTTAAGTAGCTGAAAAAGACCTTGCTCTGTTTAACATGTAGGGGAATTTCATATCAACTTTGACAGAAGTTTACACTGTGCACAGCCTTGTAGGACCAGACCTGTTACGTGAGATCTATTGCAATCTTTGACTCACCACAGCGTGTCCGTGAAAATGAAATGCCAATAATGCAATAAAAAATAATATTGAATCTGCCTGTGATAATGTACATAACGATTATGCCATATTAGATACGCATAATTTCAGCTGCTATGGCACTGAGAGGGCTTGCATCGATTTTTGTAGGTTAATGTAAAGAATATGTCTTAAAAGGCTTTTAGTGACATGTCTGAACCTGTACTGTCAACTCCTGTTCTCCACTTCAGTGGCAACAGTGTCAATTCTAGCCTCAGTAGAGGGTGAGGCAAAATTTTCAATAGAAACCATCTGCCAGCAGACAGAAGCAAAAGGAACAATTAATGGTGCCAGGCCTAACTCTCAAACAAACCCTTTAAAGCTCTTTAGGTATTTTCAGCAGCTATGAATACGATCTTGCTGAACTCTTCACTTGCACTTCCTAGAGACCCACTGAAGATTTCACAAGACATTCCAAGATCATCCCAACAGCCAGCATTCACTGCACCCAGTTTCGGCTAATCTGTACATCCTGGGCCATGTCTAAACTAAGCTAACTGCTTCACTTTCTACCTGTTGTTAATAGAGATGGACTGATTATTACAGATACACCATAATTCTCTGCTGATTATAGATGTAACCTAGATGTAATGTAAAATTTCAACAAAACTTTAAGCCATAAGTTATACCAAAGAAGCAATCCCACTCTCTTCCCATGACTGCTAATTTCCACCTGTGCTGCCATCTCCACTATGTCAGCACTTAAATCCCAGTGCTGGCAGAAGGGAGAAGGAGGGAAGGTGGGGTGGGGGCCCAGTTTCGGCTGGGTGAGATGAACCTTATCTTCTTTGCACCTTGAGAGCAGGAAATGCTCTCCAGGCTATTACTGTGTATATTAGACAAGAGGAAGATAAGAGGAAGAAGCATTGTTCCATTTGTACGCCCAAATAATCTGTGTCTTATCACCCTAAACAAACAAATGGCTGATGAAAGCTTGGTCAACTGATGCTCATTTTTAATAATTACGGAGGGAGTTCCAGAAGACTGGAAAAAGAGCTAAGGTTTTACTATTATTCAAAAAGCTCATGATATGTTTTTACCTAAACATATGCTGATTAACTGCATATCCTTTTTAAAACAAAATGCAGTGACTGTTTTCATACACTGTTAAAAGATGGGAATTTCATTATGGTTGCTCACCATAATTCTACGGAGAAACAGGACAGACAAACAATTTTTTATTCCCTGATGAAAAAATGCTGATTTGTTGAACACAATTTTGACTTTGTGCCACTCAAGATATTGTTATCATTACATATTGTCTGTCAAACATCAAATAGATGAAGAGCTGGTTGACAGCTCACAAAAACCACTAGTCATTACAGAATCTCTTTATTGTAGGAGCTTGTACTGGTGTTCACACAGATTAACCCTAGGACAAAAACCTCCCACTGTCTTCAACAACTGTCTGGAAGCAAATATAAGACGATGATGATGTCTGATATGCAAATGATATCTGGTAACATTTGTGATGTGGTAAATAACAAGAAAAGCTCAAACTGAAAGTAATTTCAACTGTCTGGTAAACTATTTCTTCAAACTATGTGTTAGTATAAAATAATGCAAAGTGCAATGGACTATATGCTAAAAAATGAGGTTCTTGGAGAGCATGTGGGAGAAGCAACACTGTCAGCAGAGTGAATAGTCCAGGTTTCATCTCTTGTCAGCAGAGTAGGTCCACAGCACTTCAGGTAGGCTCGCAGCACATTTTCCTGCACTTGTTAAAGCTGAAACTGCTCTGCCTAACTGCTACCACTTCTGCAGGTTGCAGTGAGTGCAGATCTGCTGCTTCATGGGCTGTTACCAGGCCATTCATTGACACACCATTCCCTGCCACCAGGAGGTAATTTCCTTAGAAACAGGGATTTTACCAGAAGTTTCCAGAGAAATGTTCACCTTTTGAGAAATGATGAAGTCTAACCTGATAAACTGAATGACCGTTTCATGTCAACAAAGAGAAAACATGCTCAGTTACCAAACCACTTCCTATAGTGCAAAGTTTCTCCTCACAGAAATATTTCATTCATATACCATCAAATGCTGCTGCTGCCCCTTCACTAGAAGGTGACAAAAGAACACAACCCAGGCCAGTATGAGGCTGATGAGAAAAAGAGGCTCTGATACATTGCATGCAGCTAAGTACAGTCACACTATTAAGGATGGTTTATCTATTGTAGTTGTTCGGCTCCTGAAATGAAGCTTTTAAATGACGGATGCTTAGAAGCAAAGCTCTTTAGAAGATACTCACCTTGGGGGAAATTACTTACTGATCATGAACCTGACACATTCTCTACATTATTTTTAAATACCTCCTGCTAATATTGCTTTTAACTATTTTGATAACTTCTGAAGCACATAGTACTGCAAACTTCAAGCCATTCTTTGCACTAAGAATTTATGGATCTAGAGAGAATTAATTTACTGGAAATTACATCTACAGCACTATAAAGACTTTGCCCTTAGCAGAGCAGGGTGGAAAAGTTGGCAGTCAGTTAGCTATCATTTCTCCCAAGGAAGGATGTTTCAGAAGTGATATAGAAGCCGTCTGTGAACTGTCTGTAAAAATTCTTCAGTGAAATATGGATTTTTTAAAAAAATCACTAATGCTGTATTGTTTAACTCTGTTGAAAATTTCCTATTTAAGGTGAAGGAGAATTTTACAGTGGCGAATAAGCTAACGTGAAATCATCGATAACAAAGAATTTTAGTGGTCTTTCCCTAGTAACTATTGATACCTGTCCACTTATCAGGGTAGTATGTCTTCTGACTGCCTGTTAAGTCTAGCCAACCGCTAACAGAGGTACCTTAGCACAGCTTCTATACTACACCTGATCCCAGATGGAATAAGCCCTGCTCTTTTTTTTGAGCAAATACATTTCCTCCTATAGAAGAATAACAAAAGTCAGGGGCTGTACCTGAGGGTGTGTTGTAAGTAGAGAAGATCCTGAAACATAGGAAACCTTTTCATAGTGTGACTGGATAATCCAATTGGAACTTCCAAGAGCATAGCCTGAGCTGAGAGGAGTGACCTGCACAGCACCGAACAGCTCCTGAAACACAAAGCAAGAGACATTAAGTTGAGCGAGCCCCCAAGAGAAGACAGAACAGGTAATTTTATCATCAGTGATGTCAACTTTAAAAGTAGTTCTGCTATTCAAAGCCTTTAGGAAGATAGTTTCCTGAGCTTTACATCTGTTGTTTTTATTTACCCATGTCTAACAGGACACACACCCTGAGAAAAGCTTTTCCTGAGGTAAGGCCTTCCTAAAGTCTGTCTTCCATGTGAATTCTATGGCATCTAACTGAGTTCACATTGAACCATAACTCCAAATGGAGGAATCAACGGGGTTCTTGATCCTCTGCCTCCTTCCGCTGTATTGAAGAAGCTTGTAGGAGCTTTACATCTTTGAAGACTCTATACTCCCTTAGTCAAATGTTATTGATACTGGCCAGCAGGCGAGAATGGACAAGTAGTTCTATAGTGATATAAAAAACTCTGTTTGGGTTACACATTTTGTTGTGGAAAACATAAACTTAACTTCAAACTCACTCACTTTCTAACTTTATTTCTTTTTAAATGCTATCTACTGGTGATCTAGAAACAACATCCTGCAAACTCAATCCAGATTTCAGTTTCAGCTCTAAGCATAAGCAACCTGACAGTTGTCTCCTTTCCAGGTGTCATTAGAAAGTGTATTGCTTTATCTGTACACAGTAATGTGTTATACTTGTTTTGAGAAAGGGAAATAAGCCTCCACGTATACCTCACTAATGTGATCTACTTTCTGGTTACTGAATAATAGAACAAGCATCTGATTCATGCAATACTAATGATTTTTCTAGTATCTCAATACATATTTGGATGCCTTGCAAAACAAGGCAGGGCCTCCATCCCTCAGAGCATGTAAACCAAGGCTCTAGATTGTGCTGATATGCAGACATGTAAAATGGACAACAGACCATTCTTGATGCTGTCACCCAGTTTTGGGTTAACTGGCTAATTAGAGTCTGATTATTTGAAAATTAGCTTTGGGAAGAGATAAAATATGTCTCTTTTCCCAGTAACTATAAAAGAATGATTGGCTTAGATGCACAAATCTAAAATTAGGCGAGATGCATCCACACTGCGAGGACAGTCGAAAATGAACAGTAACCACCCATGGATACTGAGGAGTGCAAATGCCCTCAACCTGTCCAGCTGCTAGACAAAGCTGCAGGTGTTGCTTATGGCAGCAGTCATGTTGGTGGTGGCTTGGGGTCTTTTTTCACCAGCTTTAATGCAGCACCACACAAACCCAAATCCACCAAATTTAGTCCACAGCAGCACTGGCTACTGTTTCAAACTGTCTTACACATAAACAGCAGTCTCCAAACCTCTGTGCCCCATTGCTTAGGAAAAGGGAGCAAATAAAAAGCTTCGGCTACAAAACTTACTTTAACCCACCTTTTCATTTCTTATGGCCCTGAGCAACTATACCAGGTATCATGGCCCACATGCTGCCTAAAAGCCATGAGGGAACAGTTTCTCTGCAGACTACCAAATTGTTGGTTCAGTTCATTCTAGAAACTACACTGGATTATAGTCAACGGCATTATAGACAACAAATGTTAGCTGGGAACCCTGGGAAAGGAGTTTTTGAAGTTCAGGTCGAACCATTAGGTTTTGTTTACAATCCCTAATTTGCAGTATAAAAGAAAGTGGAGGCTAAAGCACTCAAAAGATTCCCAGAAGTGAGATACGGTAACTCAGGAGGGGATGTGGCTTACAGACAGAGAGGATACATTCATTTGGTACATCCTCCCAACTCTCAGCGGGCCAGCCATCAACTCCAAATTTGAAGGTATGCCGCCTTAAAATTGGCCTCCCCGAGGAAGAGGAGAAACAAATGGACACTCCCTGACTTCACCGAACAAGAACCCTTCCTAGGAGGCAGACTGAGGGACATTCAATATAACCTTGTCTTGCTTTCCTAGGCTAGGGTAACTAGAACTTACATAGGATCTAGATGGAAAATAGAAAAGGAAGGGTGTTTCTGGAAAGCTGAGAAACAACAAGTTATTACTGTTGACCTGAGGACAGCTTTACAGGTACTCACAATTTTCTGAGAATACCCCACCAGCTGGATCTTACTGAGTGCAGCGTTCACTTCTGGCATGGTGTAGCACTTCCTCCACATAGACACCTCCACTGCGTCCTTCAGAGGGGCTGGCAGCAATCTGCAAAGATCAACGGGGTGTGGGCACTTCTGGAACGTCCTGATGGACCACTAGCTTTTATTCCCAATTGTATCCCCCAGATCTTAGATTTTTCTCTTTTTCCTTTTTATTTTAAATATGCCTAGCGCTTCAAAGTGAGGAGCAAGACTTTCTGCCTGTTGAGGAGCAGAACCACACTGCCCATTTTGCCTGAAACCAAAGACTGCTCTCCTTCAGCTCTCTCTCTTGTTGTTCCTATTCAGCCCTTTCATCAAAGAAGCAGCTGTGATGAAGGTGTTATAGCAACTCTCGTGGTATTTTCACCACTGATGAAAGATGCTGGCAGAGATGACTGGCATCTTGGATCAGTGTGTGTTTTGCATATCCTAAGAATCTGAAAACAAAAGTAAGCCGCAATCCTGGGATCAAAATACAGGTACCAGACCATGAACAAAGGCTGGCTCTGTTCTCATTTTTGTCACCAGTCTCTTACAAGAGCACGTGCCCCTGCACCTCAGCTTCCTTGCCTTCATCTCAGATACCCGACTTGCCTTCCGAGCATATTGGCAAGGATACATTAGCTGACACTGCAGAGCTCTTTGAAATCCCCTACACGGAAGTATTTAAGATGTTTTACACCAAAGTAAAATCCATCCATTCTGCTCTTCACAGACATTGCAAGTTAGCTGGACAGCGTTGTCAAGGGAAGAAGTGAACTGTAATGTCACAGGCTGTAAGAGAGATGGCTAACTTCTGGGAAATAAATCTTCCTTAGCAACATGAACTGAGGCAGGAAGCAGCACTGCTGCCAAATGCGTAAGAAGAATAGGATTTTTTTTGTATATTAAACCAATGCTAAATCAAAGGCTAATTCAAACCAATTTCCAAAGATTTATGGAAATTGGTCAAGTTTCTTTGATCAATTTGTTTAAAAGAATTTAATTTATTGTTATATCTACTAGGTCAGTGAACTCCTCCATAATTTAAGATACTGAAGAAAGGATTAAGGCCAGCTATTGCCAAGATCGCTGTACAGGTCTAGTGCGGTAACTGTAATTCCAGCACATGCTGGCTGAAAGCATACTGCGCTTAAGGAAACAAACAAAGCGTTCAAGGTCTTTTTTGGGAAGTCATAAGCAACGAAAGGCCAAACAATGTGGATAGTTGTCCACCATGGCACTGAAGCAAATTGCCTGTAAAAGCCTTTAACCTACCATAAGAAGCATTTAGTGTTGGATGCTTTCAGGAGCTTCTCTTCTGGGAGGAGGAGAATATACCTCCAGGTAATGGAGAGAAGTGGGGAATTGTCCTTGGTGATTGAAGTAAGTTTCTATTAGCCTTGAGTCTGTGGCTACACTGTAAATAGTCTCTGATCCCTAACAGAGACCAGTGGCACCAGTCTCCAGTGGCTTCATTCTTTGCTGAGTGGCACACAGAGACAACGAGGACTGCTGGTTCCTCAGATGTGCCCCTGCTGGCATTCAACCCGTCATCCCCGCTTTTAAAATTTGTACAGAAAGTTACTAGAGGATATTTTAAAGTCTGGAGTGAATCTACTAACACTATAGCAACATCCTATTATGGATCACCTCAAAACAACCAGATGTATGTGGGCAGGTGCCAGGACAGCCAACCTACAGCTACAAACAGGAAAGTTTCGTGAAGCAGCATGGTCAAGTGGTCAGTATACAAAATTTATGCTTAAGAAACTCAGAGGGTTGTATTCTTAACTGGGCATTTGTACAGAGAGAGTCCCTCCTGTTCAATGAAAAGGGTAACATTTAGTATATGACGTTAACACGTTCTTGTTTGAAGCGAGAGGGGGATGGCAGTACCAAACTAGATCAGAATGCTGGCCTCTCTTGTCCACTACTGTGTCCCAGGAATCAGCCTGTTTCAGACACTTAACAGGAAGATATAAGAAACGATCAAACAGGTAGTCAACAAAGTGTCTTTCATAAGGCAAACTTGCTCTTTAGACCCCTGAATCCTAATCAGTACGAAAGATATCCTGGCTGAGCATCTATAGAGCTTCCACGAGACTGCTCATTTAAAATAAAAACCAATGGTAGTAAAACTTGCTAAGCAATTAGTTCAGACTGGATCTGATAATGGAAAAACATAAGCCACTATAAAGAACTTATTATATTTTATACAGTATTTGCATTTAAAATGCTTCAATGCTTTATCTAATGAAGATGATAATGCTTTGTGGTTTATAGTAACTATTTAGAGTAGAACTAGCTGAACTGTAAAGCAGTAATGGTGATTGATCAGCCTGAAAAATTAAAGTCAGACCGAGAAGTAATAAGTATTCTGTTCTAGCAACAGCCAAGTAATAAAAAAAAAATTCATCAAGGATCACATTTTCTTAAATAACGGATGTCAGTCCAACCCTGTATGTGCTATTAGCCAGGTGTTAATTTGTGGATCAGTAGATATTTGCTCACATGCTATAATAATTAGTTCCATTCACGCTTGCATGACACTTGTCACCAGGAATCTCAAAACACTTTGCAAACATTAATTAAGTCCCTGTATACCCTCTATGGGGGACAGGAGCTCCATTTTACAGAAGCATAGGCAGCTGAAGGGGTAAACTCAGAGCACAGGTGGGGCACAGTTGGAGAGGGAATTCAGATTTGTCCCTCTCTTCCAGCTCACAGACAACACTGGTTTGTACCAGCCGCAAGGCAGAATTTATGACACGTAGACTTTTGTTACTAAACAGCTGCAGGGCTACATCTCGCTATCCCCACCAGCACAGCATTTCTTTGCTCTGTCTCCATCTCATATCTGGGCAAGGTGTGCATTTTATGAAAGCTGGGGGACCTGCCATCTGATCGAGGTTCCCAACAACACACCATATTGTGGCAGTGCTCTGTGCTCTACAGAGGTCCTGTAAGTGGGACAGGATGCTGTCTGTCCCCAGTGGACAGCCTGCTATACCTTCCTTCCGCCTCCACTGGTACCCCATTACAACAGCTACTTGATAGTACCAAGGAGAAACTATCAATGTTAGGGTGCTTCCCAAGCAAAATGAGACAGGAAAATGTATTTTAAATACTGCTCCAACAAAAAGACTCCAGCTTTCTATAGCAGTTGAATCAGAACAAAGATTACCTCTCTGTGTTCGCCTCTGGAATAGTCAACAGCATGCAAAGTGCTAGATGGCACTTTTTCTAAAATACGACCACCAGGAAAGTGACATTAAATGAGCTCCAAGATATATGATCCTCCTTTAAACCATGCATACAAAACACATGCAGTAGTGTGCCGAGAATAATGGCTCTAGTCCTCTTTCTTCAGATCACTCTGAGTTTCAGCAGTGGTTTTGGTCAGGCCAGTGGACTCCAAAATTTTAAAAAAACACTATTCTGATCAGAGTATACATGAACCAGCACAAAATCCTGATCAACTTCATTGTCTTTAGTTTTGTTTTACATCTGTGTTTTACTTGCCGCCTTCAGAAGAGTCATAGTATTGAGATAAGACTGCTCCTAAGCTCAACAGGGGATTATAATATATAGCTAAACATACGTTAATTTGGATTTTTAATTTCTTTGTTTTGTGATATTGGAAGATATCAAGACTACTTTTATAATGTATGAAATAATTCATTTCCAGTAAACTTTTAAATCAAGCCACGCTAAGAATTAGGAGTATAAAATGGGAGATCAATTAAAAATGCACAAAGCAGCTTTTAAAAATAACTTTCTAATCAACCTATCTTTAAAATGTTCTAAAAACGAAACTGTCTCCTCCACAGAACACGTTGTGCACCTAAAGTTGTTTTTATTTCCAAGAAAAGCCTGGAGAAGAGAAGGCTCCGGGGAGACCTTAGAGCAGCCTTCTCGTACCTAAAGGGGCCGACAAGAAAGGTGGGGAGGGACTTTTAACAAGGGCAGGGAGTGACAGGACAAGGGGTGATGGCTTTAAACTGGAAGAGGGAAGATTTAGATGCGATATTTGGAAAAAATTCTTCCCGGTGAGGGTGGTGAGGCCCTGGCACAGGTTGCCCAGAGAAGCTGTGGATGCCCCATCCCTGCAAGTGTTGAAGGCCAGGTCGGATGGGGCTGTGAGCAACCTGGTCTGGTGGAAGATGTCCTTGCCCATGGCAGGGGGGTTGGAGTAGATGGTCTTTAATGGTCCCTTCCAACCCAAACCATTCTGTGATTATCTGCTATTAGTAAACTGTGTGGATAATTTTTAGATTACACAGGCTTTCAAAATTTCAGATGTAGAAGACCTCAATTTTGAGCACCTTGTTTTTATGTATAGATGGAAAGACAGGCATGGAGTTTCCAACTAACCTTTTTTATTCAGATTTCAATTTGCTTCTAAGCTTTGAAAAGCCAAAAAAAACACCTCTGCTCTTCAAGCGTAAAAGAGGCTGCAGCCCTGGGAAGGAAGGTAGCAGTGCTCTGTGGCTGGCCATCAGTGACCTCCAACAGTTGTGTCCTGACTTTCTTAGCATTTCGGCAAACATGAATGTAAATATAATTTTAAATTAAAATCATTCCAAGACCACATAATTAAGTTTAAATAGCTTGCTAATTTCAACAACTTTTTGTGATGTTAACACAAAAGTCTGCTGGTTTTATCTACCAACATTGAGCTCAACTATGTGAGGGGAGATCAGAAGAGACTTTTACATTACCAAGCCTTCTTCCAACAATCAAACTTGTGTGGTTGTTTAGAAGACCAAGAATGTGCAAACGATTAAAGAAAGAATTGACCCAAGGAGTCATAGCTATGAACCTCTTAGTCTTTTTTTTCTGCTTAACGGAGGTAGCAAATCTCAAATGGTGGCAGCTGACCCATCATTACAGGGAATTCTAAACTTTCGTTAGTGTTTTTGGACAGTCACCCTTTCCCGGTGGCTTGTTCCTTACCTCTGTACCTCCTTGTTCTTCCACATGGAGGCAGACTGAGCCTTTGGCACACGTTCAATGGAATTAACCAGTTCTTCCATGAGAAGTCTGAAAAGACATCATAACTAAATTAGTATTGAGGCCTTTCACGCAGGACATCACTTTGTCCCAAATGTTTCCACAATATCACACAAATTGTAACACTATTAGGCAGTTCTGAAGAGGGGTTCTTCCCGCAGAGGCATCGTGGCAATTACCCCTCACCACTACTACCCCTGTTTCTCCACTGAGTGTTTCAAGCTCAAGCTAGTCCAATTCTGTCTGCCTGGTTGCGACAGCAGCAGATCTGGTCCACTGGGTTATGGGTTATTTGGAAAGTGGCAAGACAAGAGGAACTCCCAAATCTCTCTCCTACTGCACAAGATGATTTCTTCATTACCAACTGCTTGTCATATGGAATGAGACAAAATATACAAAGAAAATTTGTTAGCTGATGCCTGTCTACCACTTGGAGAAGCCAAGCACATTGTCAGAGTGAACTCTGCTCATCTACAAATGCACAATACAGGATTTGAGACAGAAAAATATGTCAGGCATTAAAAACTGGCACTGCAGATTTCACTGCCCAAAACTAGACAGTATTTGTAACTGTAAGCATGCTTCCTCTTGAAGTGACAGATTTAACTGCAGAAGAATGGCATCTGGAATTACCTGGGGTCGGGGGAAGCACACCAGTATACTCCCCAACAAGACTATCCTTGTTACCTTCAGCTATGGGCCAGCAATACCCTAGAGGTCTACTGCTAGTTCATATTTACGCAATTCCTTTCTCCTACAAGGACCTTCAGTTTCTGTTTGTTTTTACATAAAGGGAGAATTACTCTGGCAGAGAGAGTTTGCATAGGACCTTTAATAGACAAAGATTCCTGCCCTAAAGTGCTTACAGAGTAGTCCAGATACCATGGCCTAATCTGGTTTCTAATTACTGAACATGGCAGTTGTTCTGCATGAGAGATGCATGAAGCACAAATCCAGTTAGACTTCATCAAGAGCCAAATCTGCAGCCTTTGGTATTGACCTATCCAATCAAGAGACAACTTTGTAAAAAAAGACTGCCAAATTTGATGATCGAGTATTAAGTTTTTGACTGCATTGTCAAGTCTTGTATTTTCTACTTCAGTCTCATATTTTCTTAGTGCTTCTCTTTAGGGTTCAGAGCTTATGTATCTCAACTGCCATTTGAGATGAAGCCAGCTTAAATTCTCCTCCATGGTGTGGAGGAAAGTATGATTATATGAATTTCAAATGCTGAAAAAACTACGAGGCAATAATTTCAAAGTAATTTATTGTTGAAAAGATTGGTGATTCCTCTTCTGTTTAAGGGGAACACAGAGGAGCAGGAGAGATCTTTTGTTCATGGTTTCTGAAGGTTTGAAGTTGGCTATATGTAATTGCTGCTCAAGGAGCCAGTCCACTCAAGATCTACTATTCCACGTCTACTGCCTGGGCTCAACACAAAGCACCTGCTGTAAATGTTGAAGACAGATGGATCCAGAGGTTGGGAAACATTGAGTTAACACATTTGCAGCACTAAAGACTTGGCTGCCATTCAGCTATTGCCTAAGAGCCTCTTCTGGAACATTAGACACCACTCCTCTACCCATATTGTCCTTTACACCTTTTCCTTAGCAGTCATGAAAGAGGAGTAGAGAATATTAAGGGGCTTTTTACCTGCCAATTTGAACAGTGGGCTCAGTGGCATACACTGTTCCAGTGAATCCTGTGTACTCCGTGATATAGGGCAATGCCATCATGCAGTGATAGTTTGAGATCAAGATTACATCGACCGTGGAGAGGTCAAGCAGCTCAGTCTGAAAACAGAGGAAAGAGAGAAGCAACATGTAACCCTTTCATGCAGTTTAGGCAATGGCAGAAAAACTTCCTTGTTTTTTTGTTTTTTTTTAATACTGCAGGAATGTAACTGGTTTATTAAAAAAAACAGGGGGAGCAGGTCTCAGCTGTGGCAAAGATTAATGTCTCCTTTAAATTAATAAGATTTATCTAAAAAGCCCCCTAAAATTATTTCCTTCTCAAATCTGAAAAGGAAACCATGTCCTAAGTTTGTCTGTCTTTCATGTAATGAAATGGCTGCCGTTAAGAGAGGCACGACGATTACACTTTTATCAAAGAACTGATGTGTGCACTTCCTCAGGGAGGAACACTGCACAGACACCAAAACTTCTGCAGTAGTGATTTAGCAGACTGTCTCATATTTTTATTTGGCACATGGTACTGTAACTCAGGAGAGTGAGAGAGATTCACGTAGATTGTATTTATTCATATGCTTAAAATAATTCCCGTATTTTCCCAAACTAAATGCTTGGCATCTTTATCATTCACATTTTCTACAGTAGGAGATTAAGTTCATTCATAGGATACAACAAAACAGATGGGTGGGTCCAATTTGTTTTGATGTGACAGTTAAGACAGCAGTTCAGAGAGTGAAAGAAGATTTCACACACTGTTAAAGGAATTTTAATTAGAAATATTTACTGGTAATGCTATAACACAAATGGTGTCAAGTCAGAAATTTACAAGATATATGACCTCTAACTCAGTTATTATAGAGCAGCTAATGGAATTCAAGACTCATCAAGCACATATTATCTGATTACAAGGCTCAGTCCAGCAATTTGAATAAAAAAAGGCAAGAAAGTAGGTCACTCGGCTTTTCAGAGGGCTGACATAGTGCACTGGTGACAAGCTGCTTAACTCGTAGCTAAGCATTCATGGTTTCAATCCATGATCAGAGCTACTGTTGGAGGCATGATCTCCAAGCTGAGTACAGCAGGTGAAACACCATCCTCAGATTCATGACAGGGCACCCTTTTATCTTGCTAAGCTTGCCAGGCAGAAATACACTCACTACGTGGTATCAACGAGTCTGCTGACGCCTGCTCCTACCAAGCTGGTCCTTCAGGGCCTGGCTTTTAGCTGTGTCCAACCATAAAGAATCAAATGGGGAGTCACTCAGCCCTGAGCTGAATCCCAGCCCAGCGAACCATCAGGAGGATACAGACCACCACTTCCCAAGCTTAAGCATCCCACGTCTCAGCATCCTAGCAGCATTTACTAATAGGATGAAAAGGGTGTCAAAACCAAACCAAAATAAAATCTTCCCTGGGACTTGCAGCAATCTTACTAGAAGCATCTATGAACTGAAGAGGTTTAAAAATGTTTCTTGAATGTGAAGTGAGAGAGACCAGAAGGTTGCCAAGCAAAGAGAGGGCTGCACCCTGCACTCTGACATGTGGCAGTGTACTCTGCTGCCGAGGCAGCCTCTTATCACCTTGTGGCTTCTGGATTACATTCAAAACTTGACTTTCTTTGGCAACAGTGTTCCTGGAAGTGATATTGTGATTCTCAAACTAACTGCTTTTGCAGACAAGTTTCTTCAAAAGAAGTGGCAGGGAAGAAGACAAAGAAAAAGACAAAGCTTCTTTCATGCAAGCTCCTTCTTACACTGTGCTGCCAAACACCAGCAGCATTTCTACTCTGCTGATACATTCAGCTGGCCATGACATCTGAACCCTCCTCCAGACAGGGGAGCCAGGAAGCTAGAAAGGCAAGCTGTGTATCACTAGCAGATCTCTTCCTAGTACTTGTGGGGAAGATTTGGCACCTCTTGGGAACTTTGGGAACCACAGCATTTGAGAGGCCATTTGTAAAGTCCCTACAATAGTGACGTGCAGGTGGTTGCCATCTTCTACTTGTAATGTGGACTGCTGGGAAACAGAGTTACATTCAGTGATAACACTGGTATAATGAAGCAGCAACTCCCCATCAGTCACATTTAGAGCTACACATGTGGGTATTTTCCAGCCCAACAAAGTAACCAGAGAGCGTAGCTGAAGCACCCTAAGCCCCAGCAGATTATCACTCCTGTGCATGGCCTCAATTCCAAAGCGAATCCAGAACGTAAATTCTGTTCTTCCCAAGAGCTGGGCTATAACGGCACTTTCTAGGCATACAGATCATAGAATCGTATCGTAGAATCATATATGATCTGGCTGGAAGGGACCTTTAAAGGTCACCTA